ATGCGGAATTTCGGCTCACTTATCATTCATTGATAAGGGGCCACTTCCACTGAAACTTTACGGTTATACATTGGGGCAGGAAACAATCATATCCCTCCAATACATATCTTTCTTATCGTTGCCATGAAAATACGTGACTGCTGCTTAAAGAATCAGTCAGATCATGGCAACGATAAGGAAGTATGATTGAAGTGATATATCTGTCAATGTTAGAACACGTAAAGTTTTAGTGGCAGTGGCCCCTTATCAATGAAGTGATAAGGAGCCGAAATTCACAAGTTCAGCAAAACCCAAGACTTATCGATGTGGTAAGGGATACGATAAGAGCGTGCTAAATATGATACCGTTATCAATATCGTCCCGTTTTCATTCTCGAGAGCACCTTTTATCAAGCAGCTGCACCTCCTTATCTCATGGTATCATATCTTTCATGGGCTTACACTCGTCCAACAATTACTGCCTCACACCTTATCGAATGATAACGCGAGGATAGCAAATCCAGCGTGGAAGCCAGCGTGACTGCTTCCTTTAACGTGTGGACGGGTTGCGCACATCCCATGACATGTATCGTAGACTACATTTCTGGGCTCAGCGACTTATTCAAATACGCGGGGTTTAGTTGAGCCGTGGAGCAGGCAGGTTCGTACAAGTCGTGTTGATCTGACCCTTCCTTATTTCAACTGAAATCTGTTTAGGGCTTATCAGTGGTTTTCTTCGTTTCTTTTCTCATTATTAGTCCATCAGTATCTACAACTAAATTATCAGCCGCTGTGATCCGCTAATTTGATTTGGTGGAGTAGCTCTAATCTGCTGTTTTTAAGGACAACACAGTGCAAGTAGAAAGAAGACGGGAATTAGCTCGCCGAAGATTCGATATAGCGGAACAGCGTCGAGCAGAGCGAGCAGCGCTGAACAAGAAACGGTAGGTTCTTGGCTTCACAGTTCCTCTCTTCTCTGAAAAATGATTTCATTTATTCTTTCGCATTGTTTTAGCACAGTGACAGTGTGGAGTACATACGCGAGATGTGCTCCATACTGTCGCGCGGATGATACCCGTTTTGCTTTACTCATTCGGCATTAGCTGTGACATAAAACTGGCCTCATTATCTGTTTCTCAAAACAGTATACAGTTCAATAGTAAATATTGAAGGGTTATGACGGTTTTGCGAAAATTCTAATTGCAGAGTTACGCGCACATTGTGCTGCCGTCAATGTGTTATATTGTCTTTTCTTACAGTGCTTCGATGCCGAAGGGAGACCGCGGTGTAAAAATGGGTCTTCATAATAGAGCTGGTTTCAAGAAGCGAAAAAAGGTGGGTAGAGTCTTGTTGAACAATAGATCCTTTTCGCTGTATGCTACATTCCCTGATTTGTTTTCACGAACCGCGGCGAACGCGGCCGAGTTGGTAGATGCCCGCGAACTCAGCACAGCACACTTCGCGGGCACCCCGAGTGTGTTTTCAATAGTTTGCCACACTATCGCCGCGGCCGCGCCCAAATAGTTAGGTATTGTCTGGGAGCCACTGGCACAGTTGAGCGCATTCCATTTTTGTTTTAATTTTGTCTCTTCCATATATGATTGAAGGTTCCCGTTGGGAAGTCACCAGCAAGCGGTTCTCGGAGGCATTCTGAAGTTCGCGATGCTTCATCAGAAAAACCGAGTTACATCGTAGAAAAGGTATTTTTGGAAGGCTCTTCCAGTACCACTCATATTTTCTTTTTGTATAAATTCTAGCGATGTACATACACACACTACACTGTTCACAAATCATATCTCAATAAATGTGCGCAACATTTCGAAGGAATGAGCGTATTTAGGTGGAGGACGAAAGCCCTTCTTCCAGAAGAATGTGGTATTCTCGGAGTCCGTGAAAAGTTCACTTCAACGGATTGAGTGCTGGTGAACAATGGATTTTTTTTTCTGTTTATGTCCTTTCATTGTTTATTCCTAAAGCTCTTTGCTTGAAATCTTTAAATTGTTGAAAACATAGTCTTGAAAAGTTGTTAGGTCTGTTAGGTTACTTCTACAGTTAAATAGATTGGATTTCAATCGAAATTTTTCACAAACTTTCACACACAAACTTTTAGAAATATAAGAATGGGGTTATTCCTGCTTGCCACAGTTATTCTTGGGACATGGGTGAATCTGTCAGTGATATCGCATCACGCTCTACAGCGCTACCACCTTAGATTCATTGGAAAGATGTATTACCCCAATTCAGCCCTTACCAGAGGATGTTTTGAACTTCCCATGGAACCTCGAAAGGAGACCGAAGTACATCGATAGAATCTTGCACGTTGATTACAAATATGGACACCTAAACTGCTACGCGAAGTTTGTAAGAAAGTTGTGAGCCTTAAATGTTGCTAAAGAACGCCAATGGTTAGGTATAACATATGTGGAAGCATGGTTGTTTTTTGTCTGGGACCTGTTTGTAAGGGAAAATGGGTGCCCTAATTACGAATATGAGACTTGGTCTCCTCCAGTTCCACGGGTAATCAAAGCGTTTCCTGGTTAGTAAGGGACACCGGAATAAGACCCATAATAACCAGCCGTCGCCGTCGGAACTAAATAACCTCTGGTAAGCCTTTATAATGTTACGCGTTATTGTTGTGATTATTCGTTAGTTTTCTAATCTGTTTATCATTTCTACTGGCACTTTCATCACTTCCGAAGTTGTTTTAGATTACTCTTGTTAACAATGGTTTTCTTTGTTTCCATCTGACTAGAGTTAAAAATGATGGCTAAAAATGATTCCTCAGGTTGTGCGTGTTGTTTGTTGTTCATATTGGATGAATTCCTTTCAACATTTTACGGTGTTCTAGACGAGAACTTTGAGTTGCGTGACTCGGTGCATGTTGAACTGGATTTTTTTTCCTCGCGTTCATCCTTCTTCTCTTCTTTCCTCGACCTTTGGGCTTGATCTCCGTTTCTCATTGTGGGAGTTTTTTCCATAACGAGCAACTTGAAAACTTGTTATAGCTTCTGACAGTTCCGTGGCAGTGGGGATGGGTTCATCTACTAATCCCCTTAGAAGTGCTATGCGGACTATTCAAAGCTGACTTCGCCAGTCGGAATTTAACTTTTTACCATGCACTTTCTTTGCTCTTTATCAACTAAATCAAATTCAATTACTGCGTTTGCGTGATGTGATGTACTCATTAGGGCACAACGGTCGCCGTTGCCATAAAAGATGCCTTTGAAAATTGAATTCGGTTGCCAAGTGACTAGTGGTTTGAAGGTGAGCCAAATGGTGTCGTTCAGGATTTGTATAATAGCTTCGGTAATGAATATGGTTTGTACGGTAGTACTGTTCCTGTCCTACTTCCCTTTTGAGGTTTGTGCGATTTACGGTCGTCTATGAAGGTACCATGAGGCAACTCCAAGGAGGACCTTTGAATGACCAGACTGACCCTCTGTTCTGGAAGTTGTTTTAGGGTCAGCGTTACATACCCTGTGCTTCCGAAACCAGATGCGTTTCGAATGCAGATCACACACCACAAGTGACGACGGCCTCCGATAGCAACTGGTGATTCATGATGATAGATGATAGCTAGTGAATGGGAGTTGTATTTGCAAAGAACTAATAGAATGCAACTGCAACAGACCAGTCACTTCATTTGCATAGAACTTTTCATTTTGAGGACGCCGTCACTTTTGGTGTGCGGTCTGCACTCGACGCGCATCTATTAGGTTGGAAAGAAAGTTCTGCAACACTTTTTCCAAAATTTTCTTTTTTTCCGAAAAATTCATGGGTAACATTTATGACTACCAAATGATAGAGGATTCTCAATGCTTCAATCCACGAGGTGGTTCTGCAGTGAGTAGGTATCCAAGAACATTCAGAAAATCTCGACCACTAGCAAATCCGTACTCCGAGTCACTGTCTAGTACAAATGTCTACAAAACCATGGATTCGTGTCAACGACTGACACTATCTGCAATAGCTTCTAATGGCATGCCGTTCAGCGATACAGCGTGTTTCACCTTTACCAGCGCTTCCGATCTTTTGATATTTTTATAAGGAGCCAGCAGCATCCCTCACACTCCATTACAGGTAGGGCACTTACAGAAGTTCCACTACATATCCCTCGTTATGGGCACCATTGTGTAGGCAGTGGCCTAGGTTGTGAAGTACCAGAAGCTGGCCGAGGTAGCTCGTCAAAAGCCGTCATACCGCGACAATATTCATTTCTTTCATGACATTGCGAATCACCATGATCCGAAATGAGCCCGGTAAGAAATTCTGGAGTCGCGGCAAGATTTCTTTGATCTCTAGCGTAATCCCCCGGTCGAGCTGTAAATAAGTGCTACCTATCCTGGACTTTTAATCATCATCTTTATAACTAAATAACCAGACGATCAACTCCAACTCGAAAGTAAGGTCGCCTCCTTTCTCGACCCGCGCTCTGTTGGGTTTTGGCGAAAGAGCATCAAGAAATTGTTTCTGAGCGTTGGAGACAAGTGGTGGACACTCATGGTAGCATATAGCGGTCAGAAGCTGTAACTCAAACAGATAAAATTAAAATCAGAAATTTGGAAAAGTGTTGCAGGACTTTCTTTCCAACCTAATAGTTTTCCGAAGCAGAGGGTTATGCTTTGTTGACACTCCCCTTACCCTCACTTCAGTGCCTTTCAGCTCCGTTTTGCGTTGCGGGTTTATTAGAAGCCGTGCGAAAAAAATGAAATCCCCACTCCGAAGCTAAACAATGTCGAGATTACAGGAAATACTAAATTACTAATGTGATATAACTGTAACACTTTATGTTTACATCATTACTTAATATAACTTTTAACAACGAGAGACAGTGCGTAGAACACTCCTTTTAATGAAAGGCAACAGAAGAGCATTCGAAAACAAAATATATGCAAGAAACCAACATTAATAGCAATTGCGCATACATTTTCGAACTATTAACTAACTTACTATTAAGGCAGAGAGGATAGTTAAACAGGCAATCTTGTTCATTAATATTGATTTAAGAAATTAACAGATACAGTAACAAAGAAAATTTTGATTCTAAGCATTACTTGGCAATACTCATAAAAATTACTACAAATTCCTTTGTGTCACCAGTTCGTAAAGCCCGATCGAAAAACTGTTCATTTATTTGCGTGTTCCTGTTATGCTAATTCGACCACTAGTCCATGACTGGGATAGATCGGCAGAGTGCAGAAAAGTCGTCCAACATCTGTTCGTAAATTTGCGAATTCTCCGGATTAGGCTCGGCAACTTTGGCAACGCAAGTGCTCTTGTAGTAGTCACTATATGATGACGATGGGGAGTAGAACGCTGAAACAGTACAGAGGTCTTTCTTGCTCGTAACAGTAATCGTTTTTAACATGGCCAGATAAAAATGTGCAACTGGAAGCGTATGTCACGTCAATGTATTTGACACCATCGTTCACACTGCAGAATGATATACAAAACAGGATGAGGATGAACAAAACGAGAAGTAGGTCTGCAAAAATAATGAGGACTAATAGAAAAGCACGGCGGAAGTGCTGTAGTGGCGAGTGGCACTCTTACCACGCGAACGGTCCGGGGATCAAGTCCTGGGTCGTGAGTCGCCCGGGCCAACAAAGCCTTGCATCTCCCCGGGGTCGGTTAATTGGTACCAGACTTGTCAGGGAGAATAATAACACTGACTTGTACATCGGCTGTTCCCCGCAAGTCATTGTATAGGCCATATCGCACTCAAGGGCCACTACGAATGTACAATTGGATGTATAATAGGATGCGTGCCGCATTCTAAAAAAAGGATTGATCAACGGCAAATGCTTTATCCTTTTTCTCCTCTGATAGAAAAGCGTTTCTTTTTGTAGTGACAATGTGGGTTGGTTCAGATTGGGCTAAATGGGGGAGTGCCGGCGAGGGATGTGTAAGAGATATGATCAGAGAATTGGACAAAAGAGGAGGATTGACACTGTATAGAAGGAGAGCAACGAATGTTGCAAAAAATCAAGATGATGTGTGAAAGTAGACGATAAGTATAGTAGAAACGGGGTGACGGTGTATGTCGTCGGCAGTGTCTTCCCGAATCAAACGGGTCAACTTTCTGTTATTATGGCATGGTGCCGGAAACTTCATTGAGATTTGAGAAAGGTCTGAGAGGAACAACATGGTGTGTAACATCAGCTTGACGAAGTCTAGTCGAATGTACGGGTTGTGGTACTACTGTTGTGAGATCCAGGCAATGTTTGATATAGGTAGGCTATACAGATAATAAGCTCGACTAGTTCAGCGCAATCAAACAAGTAAGTGGAACAAAAACACACGCCGTCTTCGCGCCTATGGACAAGTTTATCGTAGTAGACGTACTCCAGGGAGCTCCTCCTCCCACTTTACTTCGGAAACCTCCACGTTTTCAACAACACTTCACAAAATAAGGTAATGAATCGAATAATCTTACCATATCTGGCAAGCATGGCTCCGCCCAGGGCAGCTGAATCTGGGACGTTCAAAATGTAGGTGTCCATGGCGAACACGTCGGATAAAATCCTTTGCAAGTCGGGATTAGCCGATGCGCCACCGGTGAGGAATAGGCGACCTTAAATGGAAAAAGTTAATTAAGTGCATATTCTTACGAATAAATAGTATGCAGACATTGGCAGGAATGACTCGGAACTATTCACCTTTACCGGTAGTGCATCCCATAGTTTTGGCATACATCAGTTTCAATAGCGATTGACCTTCGAGCAGTGCCCGCGCTTCAGTCTAGAGTTTATGAGTTAGAAATCACGTAATCGAAAATAATGTAAGTCTGTCGGGGTCCCTAGCAAACATTCTCTGATTGCCGTCTCTAGGGTCACAATCTTGATGTAGAGAGTAACTCCAACACTGACATCATGGGGCATACATGGGAACATTGGACATGTACAGTTTGCCCTTCCACTACACGCCGTGGGCTACGTGGCGCGACCGTTTCGCCGAGTACTTGTGATCAAGTTGCTGTGCAGTTTTCTAGCAAGCGAAATGCAGCAGGAACAAACGGTATTTGGGTGAAACTCCAGTTCGGGAGGCCACTCCCTGTTATTCTTAGTACTGGAGAGCTCTTTTCTGGACTTTAACCCTATGGATAAAACAATAGGTAAAGACCCATTTCAAGTGCACTTTTGATAAGAATCGATGTGCGCCCTGCAGCACGCACATTTTGCTCACATCATAGGCAATTTATGGCATGCGATTGTCCACCCTGGGCTCCTACACCCTTCCGCCTAGGAAAGGATGTCAATCCATAGTTCAGGACCATTTCCTTGGACCAAGCAGGCAGAAATCTGAGAGTGCTTTAGGGGTACTTTCACACAACACCGGTCCTTATCTGAAGTAATTTTAAATGAATCGATTACGTGCCATGAGAACTCTTGCCTTATCCTTAGTATTGGAGAGCACAACGGAGTGCCCCCCCCCCCGAATGGAGTTCCTCCACATCTGCATGCCTTGTCGTCAAACTATCCGCTCTGGGAGCGCTCGCGAGGTTAGCACTTATTGTGGTCACGTTTTCTATTGCGACACTAATGAATCTTCAAAGTACTCTTTCTTTTTAGTGCTACTATGCCAAGGCGAAGGCGGCGAAAATAGCTAAATATTCCAGTATACCCATTGGATATCTCAAATTAACCGGACCGTCACTATTCATATTCCCTTGATGCTCAACCTTAGACATACAGTATGGCGCAGAAATTTATGAAACAAACGTTTTTCCATGATTCTTTTGAAAGTGCACTGAGCGTCCTCTAAATTGCAAAAGATTAAACACGCGTAATATATACCACCAGGAATTTCAACTCACTTCAAATATGCAGAAAAATTTTAAATTCGAGAAAATAATGAGGGCAGGTGAAAGATCAACTATCGTTTATTCGATTAAATAATGTATAACCCAACAGAACAGTCAGAAACATCACTACATAGGCACTCACTCTTCTGGTGGGATGTCTCCCTCTGCTACCCGTCCTTCGTGCTCTCATTGACTTATCGAATTTAGGTCCTCCTCTATTTGGTTCTGTAATGTTTGCTCAAGTCTGCCCTGGCGTCTTTCTAAACACACCACCCCATCTTCGAAACACATCCTGCATGGAGCAGCCCGAATGCTTCGAGTAGACTGCTCTGCTGACAGACAAAGCCAGAGTCGCGGCAGCCTCATGTCTTAACGGATACTAACATCTTCTACGAATCTAATCTACTAAACTACATATCCTTAGATTCCAAACGTCTACGAAAAGCGCCTCGCGTTAGCTGGATGGGAGTAGAAATCGATGCACTAAAAACTGAAACGAAGTTGATAACGTGCCTAAGATCATCTGAATGACAAATAACATACACTGATGCATGCAGCAAGACACTCATATGTACGCGCACCAGAGAGAACGTTTTTGATCGCAGAACTCAGCTGCTAATTGTGTACTTGGCGGAGGCTGATAAGATTCATGAAAACCACCTACACGCTACACGACTGAGTAGCGATGAAGACAGACTTGCTGGTCATGTTTTAGACGGCTGTATCCTATACAGCTGCACGTACCTGGCTTTTGTCTCAGCAAACCAGCTACCTCGAAAGCATCGGCCTCCACATGCAGAGGGTTATGCCCCAGCCTCGCGTCTTTGACAGACCACGCCAGGTCCCACGAGCCCTTGACCAACACATTACACAACCACTAGGAGACCCTACCAAATCGTAATGTCCCAATGAAAACCCACGAAAGGAACGGATTACCCGAGAGAGACCCCACTAGAGTTAGTTCATTATTTGAACCGCATTCAAATCATTTTTGTCCAAACTTTAGAGGTGCTGAGCAATAAGTAGACTTGTCCAATTATGACGTCTACTGACGTACTGGGTTACTTACATTATAAATCAAATAAACGATCGCGTGATCTTTTACATGCCTAATAATTCGAAAAATCAAAAATTTCTGAACCCAAATGAGCTGAAAGTTGAAATTCTCTGTGTGGATCATAATACACGTAGTTAATAATTGTTGCAAATTTGGAGACGCTTCAGTGACTTTCAAAAGAGAAATCATGAAAAAACCGTTTGTTCATAAATTTCTGGCCACTACTGTATATAGCCCTGTGCAGGCTTATTACTGAAATTTCCCTTCTACTGTCTTTCACTGGAAACCGAAAACGTAGCGCAACCTACATAGTAAGCACTGACCATTGCTGACCGAGTTGCCCTTCATTTATTTTTATTCTTAACGATAGATCATTACCTCTGGTGCAAATTCTTCCACCATAGAGTAGCTATTGCCATCCTTTTGATACCTAAAGTCGCCTCTCTTGACTCTTGGAGCAATTTCGTCCTCATCGAAGTACAGACCTAAGAATACTCGATCATCACTCTTTCTGGAAACTGTAAAAACTTACTTGCCACTTGAGCTGGAATTTATTTGCTAATTTATGACTTGCAGATTTTTCCTACTTTTCACTTTTTTCACGAATAGAAGTAAATAAGCACAGGTGAAATTTGCCACTCAATATCGCCACGGCTAGGTCAAGCCATTGTTCATTTTTTGAGTAGCACCATGCTTTATCTAGGGCGTAACCATTTCCGATTTCCGTGACGAGTTAAAATCTCCAGATTTTGACTGTTGTGCAGTCTAATCTAAAACACTTATATACTAGGGAACTCCTTGTCGAGGAACCTGCAGCCTTGTGAGCTATTGTATTGAAGAGTCAGGACTGTATTTATTCTACTAGGCCACTGCACACGGTCGTTACTAACTAGTATGACGGAGCTTCTTCTTGAAGTAGACATAGTAAGGTTGATGTGGATATCACTTCATTATATCAACCAGAAGTTTCAAAATGAAGTGAGTGATAAGGCGACCAATGGAGTAAACAGGCGGCTAACAACTCTGCGTAGCACGCAGGGCTTGCCCTATCACTGTGTTGCAATGCATGGTTCTAATAATAAAGCAGTGACTATATAAACACCTACCCTCCCCTTCAAAAAGCCAGAAAGTATCGGGTGCAGACCATACACCACAAGTGACGACAGCCTCCAGAAAATGCAAATGGTTTTTGCCAATGAAATGATTACCCTGTTACAGTTGTATTCGATCAGTTGACACCTATCACAACTATCATTTACTAAAAATCAGCTGTCACTATGAATCACCATTAACACGTTGACGACATCGCGCGTTTTGGCATTTTTGGCCGCAGTGTACACGATGATTGTAGGGCGGCTGGTTTTGATGCTTCAATGGTGGGCGCGGGACTATCACACGTGTGCTCGAGGATGAAACCACCTTCCAAAATCTCTTTAACAGAATCTCTTAAACAGGAGGTTAATGATTGTCATGGTTCTGATATGAGCTCGTGTCTCGCGTGTGTGCGTGTTGCGACTCATGGGTTCAATGCCTGATAAACCAAATGTCAGATAAAAAGATTTTCAGCATTCTATTAGGTCGGTCCACAATCTTTGAAAAATTTACATGTACTGGTGTAAAAGGTTGTTTCTTGATGAATATTGAAGCTTTCAGTATGTCAGCAACCTAGCACACACAAGCTCCTATCTGGACAAGGCTAGCCACCTCGTTTGCATGTTTACTTTCTTTTGCGTAGACTTCCGGCCCTATCCGGGCCAATTGGAAAGGAATCGAACAATGTGAGCACTGTTGTTAGAGAGGCTTTTGATGCCTTAGAAGGGGAGTGTACTGAAACAGTTCGATAAATGTCGTTGAGGCCTTGAATATGTGGAATTCTCATGCTCTTTCGATAATGTCGTTAAAGGCCTTGAATATGTGGATTCTGGAGTGGTGGGCTGAGCAGGAAGTTAGGCTCTTACACCCATCTGATCATCATTCCATGTTCTCTGTTTCCCATAGTTCCCTTCAAATGACCATCCGAGTGGAGTAGTGATGCGGTGATTGACTGGACTGGCTTGTGCTATAAATCTACAAGCCGCAGTTACTTGCTTAAACGATTCGGGAGTTATGACGCAAAAACCCAACTCCTCTGATTTTGACTTTTTGAGTCTGTTTGCGGAATACAGAGAGGACTTTGCTGCTGGAACTGGCCATTAATTACCACTGTCAGTTGAATGAAGATGAATCGTCGACAGCCGATGGCTACGCCTTTCAACTTGAAGCAAAGTAAGGACAAAATCCATTTTTTTTGTGAGGTTCTTCGAGTCCACCTTTGCTAATAAGCGAAATTCATGGGAAAAATGGGGGGAGACCTCGGGCGTCAGTTCTTTTAGCTCCGCCTTGTAGCCACCGAACTTCTGCCAATAAAACTTATCTACTTCTCTCTCTGATCACATTGTGGAAGATTGTGCAAAGTGTCACTTGAATCTCCATGAATGTCAAAATCGACATCCAATTTTTCTTCGATCATGAACTTATAAAAATTTCTACAGGAGAGACGCTGAACGCTACCATCGCATTAGTGATATGCTGGTAACAATGGTTGTGATGTATGCTGTGCTGATTAAATACATCAGGGAAATAAGCATAATAACTAAGTCAAAAAAACACAAAGGTTTCTCAAAAATTATAGGACGGACTAATAGATAGCATTTGCTGAAAACTTAGGAACCCCAGGTGAAATCGTCATCTTACAAGAAAAGAATATCAGAACCTTTCAAAACGCATCCCAACGGAAAAAAACATACTGGAGTTTTTATTCTGAGTCGCTCGCCTCTTCGTTTCAAAAACGTGATCGCTAACTCGAGTATGTTAGCAGGTTTGGTCGTAACGACTTGGTATATACGATGCGGACGACTTTGGATACACTTCTCGAGCAAAACTCCAGTTGGTAATGATGCGAAATATACGGCAAGTTGTTTTCACGGTATCATCTTTCCCTACGCCTTATGTTTACTGCTCGTCCCCCCCCTCCCGCGGCCTCTCTTCCCAGCAAGAAACGTTTTCAATTCACAACAATCTAGGTGGAAGGATTCGGCTGACGGAACTAATCAGCTAAAAAAAAAGTGAGCAGCATAAAATAGGAGCAGTGTTACCAGGAAAGTACTTTGATCTGCTAAAAAAACCCTGACGATAACTGTATAATTTATTCATATCAAAACTCATTAATTTTATGTAGTTAGTCAGGCTTTGGACCTTCTTCCCTTCGCCTTCCATTCACAATACACGGAACGGAGATGACTATCGGTGGCCTTCACAATAGAGTCTCGATATGTGTTGTGGACCCCTCTCTTCCTCGACGGCGCGAATCGAACTTAGCTTCAGCCGCGCGGTCGGAGTAATGTATCAGTGCTTGTCACGCGTATGTCTAGGAGACGCGTTATTTTACCACCATTCATACACACCAGACTGCGTCTCCCGGCCAGGGTCTGTCTATCGTTGTCTACTTTCGAAAGTTTTTTACGACCCTCCCAACGTGGATTTGATCGACCCCTTTTCCCTACCTTCCACCATCTCCATCCTTCCATCCGAAACCCCGCCCACTTTTTTCCTCCAAAATGCCGTCGTCCGAGCGGCGGGGGACGTAAGCAAACCAGCCATTTGGGCCACATATGGCTGGTGACGGTATGCTGAATGGTTGAGGGGGGTGATGGGGGATGGGTCCCCACGTCGACGGTTTACTTCAACAGCGGTTGGTACAGAGGGGGGAGTACCCGACGCAAGTGGTTGCAGCTGTCAGTAGCTTCGCAAGACAGGACCGGTCTGGCTCACCTTGGGACTAAGCCTAGAGAGGGGACGGACCGTCCTCTCTTTAAGGCTTCAGGGTTCTAAGGCAAGCGCCAAATTGTGGCGGTTCGGGAAGACCGCCGTTGCAAGGGTCCTCCACCGTCAGGCGAACATCATCCCCTCCCAAATCAGCATCGGTCCAGCCGATTGTGCCAAAAAAGGGCTGGTTTGCCTTACGTGGGGGGGGGGGAGGGGGCGATGTAGTCACTTCTGGAAACCGGTAAATAATACTCCGAAAACTCCTTCTATTTCACGTCACCATTTCAACATTATTTACCTATACTCGACACTACTTCCTTTTCTCTAGGGAGGGGGGTGTCGCCGCGACAACGGCAAATTTTTATTTTGCGCGCCCTCCACTCACCCAGCACTACCACGAAATGTCGTTAGTTTCACCTCAATCCACACGTGATTTCGAGCGACTAAGTGGGTTACGACCTCCCTCCATACAAACTAAACAGGTACGACCCCCCCCCGTTGTTACTCGTATTAAGTAGGGTTAACGCCGCCCCCGGCAAGCCACCTGACCTCCCTTCACTGCGATAATCTATGACTCTTATCCACTGCTGATATAAGATTTCCTCCACATCGTTCCTTCGGCTCCTCTCCTCTTTCACTGCGTCTGCCTGGCGCGATTGTAGGCGAACATAGTGAATAACCAAGAATGGCGCTATTACTTTTACTACTTTAACTTATCCTAGCTTGACGTCTGGCGTGGTGGGGGCGGCTTCAACCAGTACACTGCTGTGTGTGCCATTGGAGTACGACGCCCTGAAATGAAGTGTCTCCATTCTGGTCGATGAGCCAGCAATACATCTAGCATGCTCAACACTGCACTCAGAGCCCTAGGTCTTCTCAAATTGTTAACCGCGGAGGAGTTGCTTTGGGACCGTCGCTCTGAACTTTCCAACTGCGCAGGGTGCGTCGTGCCCGATCAGATCTGTATTAAGCGTATTCTGTTCGTGACCATCCTGCACAGGTGACCGAAACCATCGTAGCCGTCGCAGTTTTCAATTGTTCTTCGATGGTTGGCGTTGGATCTTCAAAACTTCTCCCTGATGGCGTTGTTCGTGACATGGTCGACGAACGCCTGATCCGAGCATATGGGTCGGAGACAACGCATTTGAGACACCTCGAGATGGAGAGGATCCGACTTGAGCCACGTCCATGTCTCAGACCATATAGTAGCAAGGAGCACCAGCGTCCGAACAAGACGAATTTTTGGTTTTGCAGTGATATGATTTACTCTTCTTCCAGAGACACACTGGGTAACGCGCTGCCAGAATGTCTTAGACGCATGACCATCCTGCTGGCCGACCTCCAGCCTCGGCAAACACTTTCCTTTTCTGAACGACCGATCCAAGCGTACTTAGAAATTACGCACTTGCTCAAGGCGACCGCTACACCAGTCGCACGGACGCGGGCGATCATCCCGAGTCATCACCTTGCGTCTTTTCCGCGTTTATTTGCAGGCCATACGACTGGGCAATTCGTTCTGACAGTGAGACATGATTGTTAGTCGCTTCCTCGGGCAGTTCGTGCCGGAAAATTGCGCTGTTCGGCAAACATCAAGTGTCAGTAGAAGCCGCCCTTTCACCGTACTGCACGCCTTGCATTCGTGGGAAAGTTTGTTCCTCATGACAGCTCCATTACCACGTTTGAACAACGGTAGGGGAGATTACGTCACCCTGACGAACACCAGCAGCTTACAGAAATCTCCTCAGCAGACGTCATCACTTGACCGGATACAGCAATGACAGTTCATTGCTACGCCTCCGACAACGCTCACAATTTGTCCGGAACATGTTCACACTCTTAGGGCTTCCATAGCGCTGGCAGTGGACGCTATCGAATGCAGCTCTGAAAATGTATTGAAAAACAACCACAACCCTTTTGCCGCAACGGAATACGTTCTTCCAGTAGTTGCCATCTGACGTCACTGCACCCACGGCCAGGGCAAAACCCGCTGCTCCTGGTCGGCATAAGTTCTTCGATGAAGCTGACAGTCGTGCGTATGATGCATCTTTGTGAAACCTTCCCAGACTGATCAGGAGTGATATGCGCGATATTCTTGCATTCCGTATGTCGCCTATTTCTGTAATTTGGCCGATGATGGAAGCGTTACGTTCGTAGGAACAACCTCCGTCTGCCAGACGCGACACACTAAGACGGTTGGAGCCGTCTGTCCAACATACTTCTCCTCCTGCCTTAATCGCTTCTGCTGTGACATTGTCTACACCAGCCGCTATATCCTGTCTCAGCGAACCATCAACGCTGCCTCACTTACCTCCATACTTGGCGCACGCCTGTGTATATGGTTCTGTGGATCTCTATCGGTACTGGCTCTGGAACCGGTTCTTTTGGCACGTTCGTGGCTGTTACAGCCTCCTATGAAGAACTCTCTCCATCTCTGTAAAGCGTTCCCTCTCATGACTTCACGCAGTTTGCCACTTGCGTCGTTGCATGAACGGTTCCGCATGCTCTTGCGTTTTGCCGCACAGGAATCTTCTCAGAATTTGATACGGCCATACTCGTGTTTGGGATGCCGATGCTTCGAGCTCTCCGGCTACTGCCGTTCAGTAGCGCCTCCCTTTCTGTTTTTTTAGTCTCTGTGCCGGATCAGATCACTACCTACATTACGAGCAGTCGTGCAGCTCCGACCTGACAACAGGCTATACCCTCCCCTTTCAAAGCCAGAAAGTGTGAGGTCAGGACCCAAACACCACACGCTAATGACGCCATCCAAGTAAATCTGGTTATACCTTGACGAACAGCGCGCAATAGTGTTTGCGCGTTGCCTTACATGCAGTTTGATCTGAACGCGACCTTTCTTCCCAGGTTTTTGTGTTTATTTTCTAGGCCACTATACACAACATAACCAAGAAACGAGCGGCTTATAGATGCCAAATATTCTTTAGTTTGGCAGAAGTTTTCGGGATCGAACGAAATATCCGTGTTTCATAGTTTCATTCTTCATTTTCTCTCATGAACACGGAACCATGGTAGATGCAGTCGGAAAGCATTTTTGGTCCATCGATGTATGCGTAGTTTAAAGCTCAAAATCCACAGATTTGTTGGAGGCGGTCGCAGCTCGCAGAACCGCTCGTGCGTCCACTCGGCAACAAACTGCCCAAACGGCGCGGAGTGGTCGTCATACCGTGTTTAATGGGTGCTTCATAGTGACAGATGATTTTTAGTAAATGATAGTTTGTGATAGGTGTCAAAGATCGAATACAACTGCCTAACAGGTTAATCATTGCCATTGGCCCAAAAACGATTTGCATTTTCTGGGAGGCTGTTCTCACTTAGTGGTGTATGGCTGCACCGGACTTCTGGCTTATCTCTCCGTTGGGGGG